TCAATTTGATATATAAAAAAAAAAAAAAAGATTCCAAACTTGCAATCGAATTCTTCGCTCATTGAAAGGGTAGGCTAATTACTGAAATGGATTCTTAGAACGATACTTACTTTCGACTGCCGATATTCGAGGTAAATCAATACGTATATTTTTTAAAAAGAAAAAAAATCAAAATACATTCACATGAATCTTATTTTAATTTTACAAATAAAAACTGATAATAAATGTAAATTGAAATGGCAAAATGTCCCAAAAAATGTGATCTATCTATTATCTAATGATTCGTCATTCAAAAGGGGTCTTGGCAACCGGGTGAAGCAGTCAGCCGATTTATGCAAATTAATTTGTTTGAGATTCAATTGATTTGTTTTGTTGATCATTATTGAAAGGTTGAAATGAAATGTTTGTAATTTGAATATTAGGAATATCTATTGTTATCTCTTAATTAAAAGCATGGAACATAGTTTATAAGGCCAAACAAAAAAATATGTGTGGTTCCGGTTACACTTCCGAAAAAATTAGGGTAGGTAGGTAGGGAATTTTTTTTTTTTTTTTAACAAAATGATTTTCTTAATTTTTCTAAATAATAGCCTACCTATTACTGCTTTGCAAATGGCATTTAGATGTGATGTGATAATATACTAGTCAATATTGGTAGGGGACACCTACATGCTAGCTCGCTTTGGACTTAATACTATTAAACTCTTGCACTATGTTTTGCAAGGAGGCCGTCATTGCTGAAAATAAAACTTAAACCAGAGCCATTGATGGAAATCGGGGAAAATTCCGGAAAAAATATGAAAATTGCCAAAAAAAAGTTTAGGGTCGGGATATAAAATGGGGAAGGTCGGGTAACCGGAACCACACATATTTTTTTTATTTGGCCTAAGCTCATTTTAGATTATATCATTGAAAGGTTAGTGAATGGTGAAAACACATTTGTTATAAAATGAACCCTCATTCTCATTCATCAATGCATAGTACCATAACGTCAAAAATACCATATTGTTTCAAAAATACCGGTATGGTATCGTACCGTTTCATGCTTAACGGTATCCAACCCTAATCGCAGATGCTTGAAATTTTAGCATAATCTTTGTTTAGGCATGCCATATGGTAGGATTCATTTTTGTAGGAATTCGATGTCAACTTCCTGTTTATCCGTGGGTCTGTCCGTACCATACATAACAAATTTTGGTCATAGTTTTCTCAGCAACTACTCATCGCAGATGCTTGAAATTTTAGCACAATCTTTGTTTAGGCATGCCATATGGTGGGATTCATCTTTGTACTAATCTGATGTCAACTTCCTGTTTATCCGTGTGTCTGTCCGTACATAACAAATTTTGGTCGTAGTTTTCTCGGCAACTACTCATCGCAGATGCTTGAAATTTTAGCACAATTTTGTTTAGGCATGCCATATAATGGGATTCATTTTGGTACAAATCCAATGTCAACTTCCTGTTTATCCCTACATCTGTCTGTACCATACATAACAAATTTTGGTCACAGTTTTCTCAGCAACTACTCATTGCAGGTGCATGAAATCTTAACACAATGTTTGTTTAGGCATGCCATATGTTGGGATTCAATTTTTACTAATCCAATGTCAATTTCCTGATTATCACTGTGTTTGTCCATAACTGAACTTGTGTATTCACATCAGAGCGGGGGTATTATTAGTGAGCATTGGCTCGCAGACTTCTTGTTTTACCTTAACCTTCCTTTTGAACTTGACCTCACTTTTCTTAAATTTGCGTTTAGCTCAATTTCAAAGAAACTTTAATGACATATTTATCAAACACTATATTAAGCTAATGCATATTTGTAAATGCTTTTCAATTGTATAATAAAAAATTGACCCTGACTTTCCCTTTGACATTGGCTCCACTTTTCTTAAATTTGCATTAAACTCAGTTTCACAGAAACTATTCAAGATATATTTATCAAACTTCATATGCTTATACATAATTTGGGGAGTATTCAACTGCAATTCAACTTTGTCCATTTTTTTAAACCTGACTTTCCTTATGACCTTTGATTTTACTATTTATTGTGTTTAAAACTCAGTTTTAAAGAAATTTTCAAGATATTTTCATCAAACTTCATACACTTATACAAACTGGTGAGAGGTATTCAACTGTGTCATAATTTGCTAACTTTAACCTTTCTTGTGACCTTGACCTCACTGTTACTCATTTACCCTTATCTTAAAAAAGATAAGCAAGATATATTTCATATCTTATTGCATTTCTAATGAACCCTGAATGGGGCATTCATGTCCAGTGAATATATAATTTCTAGTTTCTTCTTTTTTCCAGAGAGTCGATGCCAAGTCATTTCAAGGTCAAAGAATACTGCCCTATTGTGTTCAGAAATCTTAGGGAACGCTTTGGAATTGATGACCATGATTATATGGTAAGTTGAACAAGGATGTTAATTGAACAATGGTGTAACTCTTGTTAGGCACAGGGTGATACATATCACTTTGTAATTGATGATTGTGATTATATTTGTACATGATATTTGGAACAAGGATATTAATCCAAAAATGGCATAACTTTCCTTTGATTTGCAGGCACTGGGTTGTAACATTATCATTATTATTTTTTTAAGAAAGAAAAGGTTCAGAAAGATCAAATATTTCATGAATGTCAAACTATTTTGATCAATTATCCTATAATTTGTGTCCTAGCTAAAGCTGGAAAATAATTATATGTCTATGCAATATGAAAAAATTTCAAGATATATAAAAGATAGATGTGTCTACTCATGTTACTTGATATGCAGATAAACACAGTTTAAATTCAATCTGCATACATTTTATCAAAGGGAATGCTAAAAGAAAATTGTTTCTGCAAAGCAAATGAAGTTGTCTGTAGGAAATGAAATTGTAAGAGGGCAAAGTGTCTTCTACAAGAAATGGAATTTTTTAAGGTTCAGTGTCCTACTAGATATCGAAGCAATAGAAATAAAACAAATGTCCACTGAGTCATTGGGAATATGCTTGTCTGTCTTCACATTATATAGGAACTTTCACGAAATCTCATAAATTACATACTGCCAAGAAATACACATTGCAATTTTTCGATTATTCTCATGAGGAGGGGGCAATGTCATTTTGTGAGCTCGGTGCTCGCAGTACCTCTAATTTTAAGCTTAGCATTGTATGACTGCAGTATTACTCAACATTTGTAGATTATAAGGATGCAAACTTCAAATTTCTTTCAAAGAAACCTACACATGCTAAAGGAGCCAATGTAATCATGATTATTTACAGTCAAATCTTATTATCTGGAATTAGATGGGAGTGAAAAACTTGGTTTCATCTTGTGTTGACTGGTAGGTTGGTAGAACATCACGCTAGAAAGGTCCCATTTCCTGATTAAGGACATATGCAGCGAACCTTACCTACTGATAATTTTTCAAGATATTCTTAATTTAAGATTATAATGCCATCAGATGTTCCTAGACAAAAATTCAGAATGCATTACCAGGGGTTTTAAAAAGATATCAGTTGATGAAAATTCTTGTATAATTCAAAGAAAAATATACAAAAAATACTAAACATATATTCTAAATGTTTTGTTTATCCAAACTTGTTTTAGAAGTGTACAGCAGCATATATAGACATTAAAATGTAGCACACAGTTCCTTTAAGTATTGGAACTCTTCAACTCCAGGGAAAAGACAATAAAGTTCAAACTGTGTTGCGTATGTCCTTAAGGCAAAATCCCTTAGACATTCTGTCAAGATGCAACATTCCAGTCTGTTTTTTTTTCTATTGAACAATTTTTCCAACCAGCCACAACTGATCGATGGCAAATATTTGTCTACATTCTCATGAACTATGTGTATGAATAATTAGATTAGAAAATGTCACAGAAGGATCTTTTAAACAGTAGGGGGGATTCAAAGGATTTTTATGTGTGTACCTGTAAGAAGGGAGAAAATATTTCATGTTAAAAATTCATTATTTATACTTGAAATTAGTCTTTGGTTTGTTTTAATGTTAATTTTGCCACACATTTAGATGTATAATAATTATTAAAAGGCAGATCTCAACATTTTTTTTTATTGAAAACCCAATGCACATTAGTGGGATGAATAAGATAGTTATGAGAGCTCTGTTTATCTTCGTGTAAAATTTTCATGCCCTTGATGAGTTTTAGTAATTATATCCATGATGAGAATTTCTGTCAACCTGAAAATTATCTCTTTTTGTCACTGACAGAGTGGTTTTTTTTTTCTGTTTTCTTTTTTTTTCTGTTTTCTTTTTTTTCTTCTTTTTTACAAATTACGTGTATGAGCTGATTGGAAACTTTCTTTTAAATATTCATGTACTCTGCTTTTAAACATGCTATGTGAGATGAGAAATCACTTTATGAAGTCTTAAAGTTTCTTGTCTGAAGAAAAATCAGATAGGGTTCCAGTTACAAAAAATTACTTGGTGTGAAATGGTCAAGTAAATTAAGTTAAGTATGGTTATTTCTTCAGTGTAGGAACTTTTTAATAGAAGGATTTTTATTATCATTCCTTGCTGAAACTCAAGACTCAACACTCCATCTAGACTGATATTTCAGTAGCAAGGAGGCAGTTATCCTAAAATCTCCATACATTAGAGATGGAAGATCACTTAATTACCCTCCATATATATACATTAAGTCGGGATTGCTCGTTCTGTCATATTTTAACAATAAGCATTATTTTTCCTGGGGTGTAGATAATGAATGGTTACTATGGCAGTAAACACAATAATTAGGCAGATGAACTTCCGATGCTATAGACTTTATTTGACAGGTGCTAAGTAACTCTTTTACAACGTGGCAAGTAAAGCAATTTATTGTTTGGTCTATCACTAATAAATATTTTTTTTTCCTACCATGTGCTATGTCCATAGGAAGAATCAAGATAAAAGTTTGTCTTAATGGTTGGGAGGTGTTAACATCAGACCAATTTAAGGTGTTTATTTGAAAGTGAATTTCTTTAGAGAAAGGAAGAAATGTTTAAAATGTAAATATACTTTATCAAAAAAGGTGATAAGGCAGAGTTATGTAGACAATTAGGGAAGAAAAGGTTAGATGTAACAATTACGTATTTCTGTATATCAACATCCTGGTGAGAAACCAGGAACAAAAGGAAGAGGGCAATATTGATAAGGGAACAATTAAAAAAAGATAATGTACCAACTTAGGAAAAATCCATAACTCAGTCATAGAGAATGGATATTTATTTAAGGTCAAGATCTAGTGAATGAAAGGTGCCCACAGATTTCTCAAATTTGAGATACACATTCTTTTAATGATCCTTTATGAATATAGTTTGGTAAAATAAGGTGTATCTGGACATAATTTTAGGATAAACTCATCGGAAAAACTGCCCATTTTCAATGAAAAATGAAGAAAGTCTGGTATAAAAATGGGACTTCTCTCCATCTCAGACAAAGGAAATGTATCAATATTGCCTACAGTCTCTCAGAAAACGGTTTTTCATATCTTCTTGATCTCTACTTTAAAATGATATTAAACGGAATATGAGTATCGGGGTTACATTTGACATGATTTCAAATTGAAATCCATGAAAGTGCTTTATTTTCTTCATAATTCTATTGAAGCTGTAAAGTACGGGAATAATTAAGTTTAAATCAATTATGACGTCATAATGAATCTAGCACCAAGAAGAAAGTCTAAACACATTTACTAGATCTTGACCTTAAATCAGACATAGTATATGTTGAGTTTTTGACGATTAAGGCATATTGTTAAATACCTTTTTAAATTGTTTTTTTAATAAAATTCTAAGCTAAAAAAGTTTTCACATTTCCCATGTTTTACTGAATAATGTTGTACAGTTGGGTCTGATAGGACCTGTTGATTAGATATTGGACAGCTGTGACGTTTTTTTTACGTCACACCGCCTATATTTTATTTGCATTCATTGGTGTGTGACAGATATGGAATCGACTAAGTTTTAGCTGCAGTGCATGCAAACAAAGATTACATTCATCGCTACATGAAAGCCAGCACAAGATATTTCATTATAAAAGGTGAAAGACTGAAAGTTATAACAAAACATTATAATGGACTGCTTTCTTGGGCAACACACATTTTGCCAAACCCTCCAACTATTAGCCTTAGACAGTTTGGTTCTTGGGTTAAACAAATCAGACATTGTCCTCGAACCCAGTCAATATAATTATGTGTAATATTTATCCTTGAGAATTATGGATGTTATAACCATGGTCTATGCTACTGAGAGGTCACAGATTCCATGGGTTACTCCAATTGGATCCACCACTCAAGTTACTTTGAATATATTCATTGATTAGAGTAGAAAATAAACTGGGTTTGAACTAAAGGCCAGGTCAGAGAAGAAATCCTGCTCTGGTACCTTAGGGAAAAAACAAAACCCTTGTCATGGGTTACTCCTATTGGATCCACCACTCTAGTTGCATGTACTTTGAATACACTCATTGATCAGATTAGAAAATAAACTTGTTGACTGTAGTAAATTTTCTGAATTATTTATGAAATTTCAAAAAATCTTTTCAGAATTCCTTGACCAAACATCCAGAAGATATAGATTCTCCGGGAAGGAGTGGAGCTCGGATGATGATGTCACATGACAGAAAATACTTCATAAAAACGCTAGTCAGTGAGGAAGTGGAACAGCTTCATATAATTCTCAAACAATATCACCAGGTAGGTCTGGACAGATAATGGTATAGGTAAATAACAAACATACAGACAGGCATACAGACAAAGAAACAAACAAGTAGGTCTGGACAGATAATGGGATAGGTAAATAACATACATACAGACAGACAGGCATACAGACAAACAATATCACCAGGTAGGTCTGGACAGAGAATAACATAGGTAAATTACAAACATACAGACAGACAGTCAGACAAAGAAACAGGTAGGTCTGGACAGATAATGACATAGGTAAATAACAAACATACAGACAGGCAGTCAGACAAACAAACAAGCAAATAGGTCCAGCGTAGAGAGATAATGACATAGATAAATAATGTATACAGACAGGTGTACAAACAAACAGGTAGGTCCAGAGTAGACAGATAATAACATACATACAGACAGGCAGTCAGACAAACAAACAAGCAGGTAGGTTCAGAGTAGATAGATAATGACATAGGTAAATAACATACATACAGACAGGCAGTCAGACAAACAAACAAGCAGGTAGGTCCAGAGTAGAGAGATAATGACATAGATAAATAATGCATACAGACAGGTGTACAAACAAACAGGTAGGTCCAGAGTAGACAGATAATAACATACATACAGACAGGCAGTCAGACAAACAAACAAGCAGGGAGGTCCAAAGTAGACAGATAATGACATAAGTAAATGACATACAAAGATACAGACAAACAAACAAGTGGGTAGGTCCAATGTAGACAGATAATGACATAAGTAAATGACATATGTACAGACAGACAGACAGACAAACAAACAAGCAGATAGGTCCAGAGTAGACAGATAATAACAGGAGTAAGTCATAGACAGCATAAAGACAAGAAAACAGGCAAATAGACATAGGGTCAGTTGATAATGTCATTGGTATGTGAAAATAGACGGACAGATAGACAGAGATAGATAAATGATGTCATTGGTATGTGAAAATAGACAAACAGATAGACAGATAGATAAATGATGTCATTGGTATGTGACATATAACAGAGAAGCCGACAAAGAAACAAGCAGGTAGGTTCAAGATACTAAAATAATATCATGGGTAACTGAAATACAAACATACAGACAGAGAGAGAAAAAAAACAACAGTCTAATAAATATATGTTGTATATACCTGCAGGCAAAAAGTGTAGAGATATTGGTGATTTAAATATCATGAAAATGTCCATACTTTTATTGCGGGTATCAGTTTTTAGACAAAAGGAAAAGTATCAATTTTTAGACAAAAGGAAAAAAATTATTGCCCTTAAATAAAAACCTGTCTGTAACATTAAATGTTGTTCTTGTAGTTCATTGTGGAAAATCATGCGAAGACATTGCTGCCTCAGTACTTGGGAATGTATCGGATCACAGTGAATGACACGGAAACATACCTAGTCGTTATGAGATGCGTATTCAGCCCACGACTTCATATCCATAAAAAATACGATCTAAAGGTATCGGTATCCTGGTATCAACATATATACAGTATAAATCAGCCCGCGACTTCATATCCATAAAAAATACGATCTAAAGGTATCGGTATCCTGGTATCAACCTATATACAGTATAAATCAGCCCACGACTTCATATCCATAAAAAATACGATCTAAAGGTATCAGTATCCTGGTATCAACATATAAACAGTATAAATCAGCCCTCGATTTCATATCCATAAAAAATACGATCTAAAGGTATCGGTATCCTGGTATCAACATATATACAGTATAAATCAGCCCTCGATTTCATATCCATAAAAAATACGATCTAAAGGTATCAGTATCCTGGTATCAACATATATACAGTATAAATCAGCCCACGACTTCATATCCATAAAAAATACGATCTAAAGGTATCAGTATCCTGTTATCAACATATATACAGTATAAATCAGCCCTCGATTTCATACCCATAAAAAATACGATCTAAAGGTATCAGTATCCTGGAATCAACATATATACAGTATAAATCCTTACAGATCTGATCATTTAGAGAAATTTTTTTTTTTTTTTTTTTTTTTTTTTTTTTTCCAAAAATTGTTTAAAGCTGATTAAAATGTTAATGTCTTATGCCATGCTATGAACATTGCTGGGGCATATAGTGTTTATTATGTCCATCTTCCATCTTTCTGTCTGTTCATCCATCACACTTTGCATTTAGCTCAGTTTCAAAGAATTTTATCAAACCTTTTATGCTTAGATAATGCTGTGTTTAACTGTAGTTAAATATTTGACATTTTCTGTACAGGGATCAACAGTTGACAGATCAGCCAGTGATAAAGAGAAGGCAAGTTACCTCCCTTTATATTTATCTAAACCAATGTACAAATGTTCTCTGTCCTTTGTGTTTTTAAACACTAAAGCTTTCAATTTTATTGATCATAAAGATTTTTTTTTGGCCAGTTGATACATCATGATTGGAATATTAATTGGTTTCTTTTACTTAAATGAGTTTGAGAGATGAGAGTTTAGAAGTATTCTTGCTTTATGAATACAATTTAATGCAGTTACTTGCAACATAGGTGCTTATGAATGGAATTTTTTTTTTACTGTTGTTCTTAAGGATAAATGATAAGGATAGCATTTCTCAATGTTCTTATGAAACAGAGGACACTTAAGGAAGTTTATTTATATAACTGTATATGTCAAGTGAATAAATAGATATATGAGATGTTAACTTTCTCAAATATGTACATTACAATGACTTGAATGCATCCTTATTAACTGTTTTCATTCCTCAGTGTTCTTTAAATTCATAAATTCAGAGAGTTCTTGTGAATTTTAGGCCAAAGATTTGCCGACATTTAAGGACAATGATTTTTTAAGTGATGGAGCCACCATCCACATAGGGCCTGAGAACAAAGACAAACTGATGGCCATGCTGAAACAGGATGTGGAGGTAAACCTCACAACATGTCTCAGAGGGATTTTTTCGGGGGGGGGGGGGGGGGGGGGGGTTCTTTTAAGTCTTTTAATTTGGGAGAGAAAGAAAACAGCAAAGGTCCAAAATCAGTATCTAACTTCACGTAAAAAAAAATTATTAAAGTTAAGTAATTGAAAAGATGTTTACTATCAAAGTACATGTACATAATTTAGATGCAAGTAAGATCTAGAGATTTTAGCTTTTTTCCTTGGTAAGAAAAACAAAGTTTTTTTTTAATACACTCTCTGTGTTTCCAGTAAAATGTGTGAAAATTGTGCCTTGTAGATATTGGCCTGCTTCATAAAGATCATATAAAAGTCTTGCTCTACTAAGTCTGTTTTCGCGTCTGACCTTCAACTACCGTGAATGTTTTATCTGTCTTTCAGTTTTTGGAGAGTCTACACCTTATGGACTACAGTCTAATTGTCGGTATCCACGACTGTGAGCGAGCGGAACAGGAGGCCATAGATAACGCTAGCATTGACCACAGCAACATGGAGGAGAACGACTCCGAGAATGGGCTAGATGATGAGGACTACCTGGGGGCTGGGGGCGTTCCCACCCCACCGGACAGTCCCCAGCCCTCTCCGTACATGCCTTACACTGGGGAATTAGACAGTGAGATGGAGAGATACGCTTTTAAATCTAGTCCTGGTAAGAAAGCACTTAAATAGCTAGTTTAATCATTCGTTTTCCTAATGGATGATAAATAAATAGTGTTGAATTTTTTTTTATTACAGGGAATTTTTTTTGTTTTACCTTAGAAAAGGTTATAATTGAGCAATAGTCATCTCAACTTACTTACAGCCATTTAATGCTCAAAAGCTGAAGATGGGGATAATTTTAATAAATATAATGTCAACATATATTTTTGCTGAATAGTTTATTACACAATTTTTTTTTTTTTTATTCCAGACTGCCCAAGACAAGAAATTTATTTTCTAGCAATGATTGACATTTTAACAAAGTATGGTGTGAAAAAAAGAACTGCTACAGCAGCCAAGACTGTGAAACATGGGGCAGGGGCAGAATTTTCCACAATACGGCATGATCAATACGCAAAGAGATTCCTAGAGTTCATTAATAGGTGCATAGAATGACAAGAGAAGTGTTTTTTTAACTATATAGACAAATACTGAGGCCATTTACTGATGTAATCAGGACTTTGATGTCAGAGAGAATTGTGTTCTGGTGATTATGATGTCATGAATGATGTCATCAAGTTATGATATCATGAATGATGATGTATGATGTAGGGTAAACTCGCATCCCACAACACTTTGTTGTCTTTGTGAATGTAACTCATAGTCATTATAGATGTGGAAACTATTCAGATAGGACCTTCTCACTGCTCAAGATGGTGTAAATTATCACAATATATTTCAGGTCAAACACACAACTTAAAAACCTTTGTACTTAAATTTGTATGTACAGGTCTGCATTTTTTGTATAGTTTGCTCTGTGTTTAATATGCAAACTTTATCAAATTGTTTTAGTCAGAAATTCGAATATAAATGCAAATACAACCTGTTATGTAGATTCCAAAAAAAAAAAAAACAATTGCTTTTTGAGTTTAGAACTCGTTGAGAACATAGGGAATTTCTTTTTTATTGATTATGAGTATTTGACAAAAAATGAAAATATTTAGGAGCAGTGAAAGAATAGTTATGTCATAAGTGCTATGTCTCATGGTGAATTTTATGAGCTAAAGTCATTATCTTTTTCCATTAAATTTGTAGTAAATTGTAATGCAATGGGTACTCAATAGAGAATATTATTTTATGTGGAAATTAACAGTTTTACTATATTGTTTGTTTTCGGAACATTAGCTAAAATCTACTGTAAAAAGTCTTTGTAGTACATAAGTGTGTAAGAAGACAATATTGCTTCAGATGTCTTGAGCTGCACATTTATATCGTAATATTGTCATTGTTTACTACCTAAATTGAAAACTTGGACATTCTGTAAGTACAACACAGAGAATTTGGTATGCCTTACACCATATTAAGATTTTTTTTAGATTTTCAGATAGCTGAAGAGTGTATATATTGACAGTTTGGGGCCAGTGCTTAAAAATGATTTTTGTATTGGGAGATGAAAATTCATGAATTTTATATGCTGTCAAGTCAGAAACAACTTTTTGTTTGGTGGTGAGTCATGGCTGTGTTTTGTTAATGTTGACAGAGTTTGTTAGTAGATACAAAAAAGTAAAACTTCCCATGATTCCGGATCTGAAAATGAGAACTATGGTTACATTCTACAATTTTCAAAAAAAAAAAAAGAAGAAAAAAACATAGATGGTTATTAACCACTTGTCAGAATTTTTTAAAAATATGTTGGGCAGATTTGAAAATATTTTGGTGTTAAATTTCTGTTGAATAGGAAAAAAATAAGAAAAAAAAAACAAAGTAAGATTGAACTACTCTGCTTAGTAAAATGAAATTCAATAGTTCTGTAATTTTGACAAATTTTTTAACTGAAAATGTAGATCAAAATGAAATTTAAGCAAATTAAGTACATCATATCTGGCCAAATTTAAGATGTAAATTTTTTTAAAAGTAAAATTTGATAGAAAAAATTTTACTTGTAAGATACTTACATAAACGACAAATGTCGTTAAAGAAGTGCCACAAAAACCATCTGTATTTCAATTTGTGTACCTGTAATAAGTTATAATCTGTTTTATGGCGTAAACACTGCCAACTCATTTAGGTTTCATTCAAGACTAAAACTAGTTCTGGTAGTCAGATAGTCGAATCATTATTTAGACCAAAATTTACATATAAACTTGTATATACACAATGACTATTGTCTCAGAGAATTCAGTGCATTATTTTTATTGTTTTTAATATAAACAGTTATATTTATTATAAACTTGAAGGTTACAGAACTTGTAACATATCTGCTCTAAAATAATATATATTGTATCTATTATAACTATATTATAAAACATAATGTTATTTAGAGAAATTTTATGCAAAGCTTATCATTTTTGTGTATTTGAAAAATTTTGAGGTTTTTTTTTTTTACATTGACAGTTAATGAAAAGGTTTGAAGTACATAACATGTGGACACTGTCTAAAGTTTTCTAGATGCTCTAATTGTTGAATTGTTTTTAAAAAAAAATTGGAATTAAAAAGAAATATAAAAAGACGCTAGGATATGTCAAAAAACTGAGTGACCTCTAAAATTAAGGTGCCAGCTAAATTTTGATAAAAAAAAATGTCACCAATGCAGGCAATTTTTTTTAGGTGCCAACTTTGAATTTTGTTCATATGTGAGATGACTGTAAAAAGTAGTCAAGGTGGCAAAGAAAACAGAAGACAGTTCCATTGCTAAAAAATAATGTTTTTTTTTTTTTTTACAGTTTTAAATTTCTTTTGGCTTGCTCAGAAATTTGAAGATCAGGAATCAATTTAAAATGGTTGCCAATTTGCGACTTATAGAGAAATTTTAGGCCAACTGATCAATTCAAACCCTGGCTTAGTATCTTTTCATGCTTCATACACCTTAAATAAAAGAAGTGTATTAAATAATTGAGAATATAGCATTAAAAATTTTTTCTTGCTTTCACTAAATAATAAACTTATCAGACAAAATAGAGAAATAAATTATTCTGCATCATATATATTCAGCCTCAGTATTATATAGTGCTGTAAAATTTATCCACATTTGTCTCCATTGTTACTCATTATTATATGTATACATACTTATATATCTGTACAGGTATGCAATGTTGATCTTCAGTGCTGTTAACATATATATGTTAGTCCCATTGTGTCTGTACACAAGTAAAATAATCAGTCTAATAAAAGGCATGCACACCCTTATCATTATATATTTTTTTCCGAATTGCTTATTTTATGATATGATGTGGAAAAAAGAATGATAAACAAGCTTGTTTGTCCTATCTATAAAAACTATTCACTTTATATCTTGTCTGAGTGCAATACATAGTTACATTTGTATGGCATTTAGTGTTATTATATTTGAAAAGTAATATAAATATTGTCATACACAAAATTATATGAACAATTTAAATGCACATATACTAAGCTAAGATAATACACATGTTGAAATATAGGAATACAGAATTGCTTATTTTTTTCAATTTTTTTTGTGATTTATCTTTAAATGTTATTCCATAATAAAATCATTGTCAGTCAATCACTGCTGATGTAATAAGTCATATTTTATACTTGTTTGTCAATATTGGTCCACATATTATTTTCTTTGCCTAAATTGCAGCTGTTACATGTAGGTAGTGCAAGCACAACTGCTAGATACAATCTTGCCAATGCTATTCCAATAAGTTAGATATATATTACAGTCACATGGTATTAAGCGAACACTTCTTTTATCCTTTACTTTTTGTTACTCCAGAAAATTCCTGTGTGGTATAATTCATTTATATTCAATTTTATATCTGATTTAATAGAAGTAAGTATCTTCTTTTCATTAACTAACAATTTTAATGGACCATTAACCCAAGAACTTTATGACTGTTTATTTGTCCAAAGTTTGGTATGTTATCCAATAAAATAAACAGATTTTGTTAAAGGAGTGATTAAGGAAAAATTATATCTGGTATATACCTAAATTTTATGTGGTCCTGTGACTACCATTTAGATAAGTCAGGTTTAACCAAATTCAAGAGAATAAAGTTGACAAGCATTCCTTTTTATTGAAACACTACCAAAGTGGTATGAACAAATAAAAATGTTCAGTGTTAAAATTGTTATGTATTGTGATGGATGTCCAACACTGAAGTTATAAATGTATATGATGTGTCGTTAATGTTGTTGTTTGGCTCAACTCTCTGCTTGGTAAATTTGTAGAAAATCAATTAAACAACATTGAAATTCATCTTTTTGTCATATTAAATTTTGATATAATTCATCCTCGCAATGCCAGGGGTCCTGAGTCAACACGCTGCCGTGGGACCACTTGGCAATTTCATTCAATAGCTCACGGGCTGACTGTAACGACGTCTTTCGGAAAAATTACAAATCTTGATTGTTTTTCTTATCTTGAAACCATTGACATTAAGTCATTCTATGATAAACAACTTGTAACACGTGCAATTTAGGTGTCATTTGAATCTTTTCTGTTTACATTATCAAACTATTTATGAAAGCTTTATTTGATTGGTGCTTCTCAGTGAGTCTAAAATATCGAATGATCAGGGGTCCCATGGCAAAGTGTTGGCTCAGGACCCCTGGCATTGCGAGGATGCATATAATGATGCATATTACTGAACACTCTTTTATTGTGTCATAATTTTCTGATATTCCTTATGACCTTGGTCAACTATTTTGCATTTATTTGAGTTTCAAAGAAAATGTTCAAGATATTTTCATCGATAGCTAACTTCATACAGTTACAAATTGAGCAATATTCAAATGTGTCGTAATTTTCTGACCTTCCGCATGACCTACACCCCACTATTGATTCCTCATTTTGCATTTAGTTATGCTTCAATAGAGATTTTCAAGATAGTTTCATCTAATTTCATGCAAAGATACAACTTGATTAGAGCTATTCAAATATGTCCAAAAATTACGTTCTGTCATAATTGTCTGACCTTGATGAAATACGAAGATAACGAACTATGTTCAAGCTCAAAGTCCATTAAAACAATACAAATTGGGAACGGAGCAAACACGGACCTCCAAAAACATCAGAGGTGGGATCAGGTGCCATGGAGTAGTGAGCATCCCCTGCCGACCGGTCACACCCGCCTAGTCATGATCGGGAAATAACGGAAAAATCCTTCGACAATTCAGTGTGTAAATAATGGTCTAACAATTAGTATGAAAAACGTTAGTCAGCGTATGACTTAATGATAGATTGTATTTGCTGACAAGGTCATTGTATCGACCATAGAACTTACGAAATGATGACTTTAAACGAGACTGTTGATATTCGTGTTTAATCAACTTGTTTGTCAATAACTTACCTCGTTTTAGAAACTCTTCATACGTAGAGCATGCTCTTGCGTATCAAATCATCTGAGAAATATACACCCCACATGCAGGTGATAAAATGTATGTTGCTGTATAAGTAAGGGAAGTTGACGATTGAAAAGTTAAAGTCATCACATTTATCGTAAAGATTTCTTGTTAGATTACCATTAACGTCTTTTCGATCTTTTAAAATATCCAAATATGAAACAGATGTGTCAGACTCTGTGGTATCTTATTTCAAGCTTACTGGGATATATCATGTCGACATATGAATGGAAATAACTATTGTTAATTTACAATACGTCGTCAATACAACTAAATGTCGAGTTGATTGAAGGCCACAGCAAGATATTTCTTTTTCTCGCGTATAAGATTTTGAATAAAGTCTGCTTCCTCGACTGTTTATGGAGGAATAAAGGGAAACTCAAGTATGTGCATCAATGAAATTCCCAAATTTAAGTGGGGATTCTCCAAATTTTTTTAGCAAAGAGGAAACGTGATGCTGCTTCGTACAATTTGACGTTATTATCCGTGCGCCTTAAGGCGATACCACACATAACATAAAATCTCATAATGTGTTCATTTATGCATATATCTATTTGAAATTTGCTAGGTATATTGATGAAAAATGTACTAAAGTGTAGTGAAAATTTTAGAACGCAGTGATGGTTATTTTTCTCTCTGGACAACTTGTCCACGATTTTACCGGACAACCCTCGTAGTCCTGAAGTTTCCCCTTCAATGCTGCTAATATTTTAGTGAGGAGTAAAGAGGCTTTGTAGAACATTTACTGGAACCCTCTATGTATCTTTGTTTGTAAAGATTTTTATGAAGTTTCGGAATCCAATATAAATATGGTAATTCAAATTTGTTTCGGTTGTTGGGAATGTTAAAAATATTCAAAACTGACATATGATTTTGAAGAACTTCCTCCTTCCTTAGAAAAGGAGCTATGGGTATAAGTTGGATCGTCACTTGTAGAATTAAATCACAGTTCCTCTAAAATCAATGAAAACAATGAGCCTTACAAACAAAGACAATGTTGTTACCTGCTTTTTCAGCTGGGACCAGTACATACTGATCGTATATAGTCTATCTAATTTTTTTTTCACTTCTGAATTATTGAACACAGAAGGATAGATGGTTTTCAAAGTGCCCCTCAATCGCTTAATGCGAGATTTTAACATACATCTGATACATTTAATCCATTCTGACTAAGTGCCAAAGTCTTTTTCAAGCCTGACTTTTCCGAATTTTCTGGTCCATCGCCTAGCGTTATCTTCCACAGAATTCATAATATTTATGAAATTATGAAGCCAGTTGAAAGATAGGTGTTCCCTAAATTTTGTCCCTTTTAAAATTAGTGATTTGAGGTCCCCATTATTAACTATATTTACGTCACCAGTAATAACGTGTCCAGCAGGGCTATAGTTATAGGGCGAAGAAGAACATGAACATGATGGAGGATTATGATATGACAATGACTTTTCCCTGACCTTCAGCTTCATCTAGGAATTTTTTTTAATCAAACTCCATACACTTAGATACAAATTGGTGAGAGTAATTTAATAGTACTAGTATCATTATTTTATTACCTTGACCTTTCTAGTGACCTTGACCTCACAATATCCTATTCATTTTCCACCTACGTAAGTTTAACTCAAAAAAGTGTTCACGATATTTTCAGCAAGCTTTGTACACTGATTCAAATTGAGTGTATCGTAATTTTTTGAAGGAATGTACTTTTCTTTTCATGTTTCAGTAGGGCAGTGCTTTCATGTCCTCTGGCATATTTCTAGTTTTCCCAGTCCTTTATCACACAAAATATTACTAAGCTAGAGGGTTGTTCGGAAAGTTCTTGGACTTCTGTCATATCTTTTTTTATTTAACGTCGTCTTATATCCAAATTTGGTAGAAATATTTTAACAATAAATTCAAGTGATTCGTATTAAAAAATTTAAAATATCTTGATTTATTTCAAACTTAATAGGAGTTAAAAACTGCAAAAATTGGTTCGCGGAGCAAGTCAAAATTTAATAATTTACAAACAATACACTAATTAATGCCTGTAGTCATTGCCTCTGTAAAATAGTTCAAAACTCCAAAAAATCTAGACGATCAAATTAAGAATTGTTGCATCGTTTCATATTCCAAATTATGAATTAACAGTTTGCTTCATGGAAAATAAATCAATTTCTGAAGATAGGTAGTCCTCAATGAAAAAGGCAAAAAGGTGACGTCGTAGAATGTCACGGAGCAGCAGTTTACGATACAATTTTCTTTTGTACTCTGGAAAACGTCAGATTGAAATCTAAAAATGTAGGAACATGAAATATCTCAAAAGCGAGTCATGCATTTGTGTGCAAATGGCCCAGGCGATATTTGAATGATATGGTCTTTATATCAGACGAGGACAATCTGTGAGGAAACGGATTATCTGTAAAAATCTAACTAAAAACGTTCAGTTAGTAATGTCTTGGAAAGAGAAAGGCGCTTCACAGTTGCTGATTTTGTGAAAGCATACTAGTAGTTAAGCGGTAAAAAAAAGAAAACATTGACAAACAGAATTATACTACTGGAACAATTGTTAACAAAATGAATTTCAATTGATATAGACACGTTTTTAATGAGTAGATATTGGACCAGACTGTGTGAAATGCATAGGGTGAATATTTTGAGAACCTCATGACGCTATATTTTTGACGTTATAATGTTGTTAAGTGTGCTCCGGGGTTTTCAAACATGTTGAATTTAAAATAAAGTGAATTGATTTCTATTAAATCGAATGGAATGGCACTTCACGCATCAACAAAATAATATTTTTACATTTAATAATTTGCTTATTTTAAATTTCTTGAAAGTAGTATAACGAAGATTGACATTGTCCTCAAACTTTTCGAACAACCCTCGTACTATGTATTAATTGAGACTACTCTGATAAAAAATGGGAAAACTGCTTTGTAAAAGAATTTTAAGGTTAATGGCATTTTCCTCAGAAAAGATCTTCGATAATTTTAAATGATATATTTATTTTTTGGACTCTTCCATGAAAAATGAATTGGAACATTTCACTTTTTAACATAATGGCAATGTTTTAAGTAAGATGAGTGTTTGATATAATTATCAAAATGATTTTTGGCTTTATCGTTAAGACCTAAACATTCTGATATGTTTCATCTTTAACTGAAATCGGAATTTAATCATTTCTTAAGTGATCATTTTCAAACTTGTTAATGAGGTTTACGTAAGTAAAGCGGATTCGAACTTCTTTAATTGAAGATTGTGTACTAAGAGTTGGTGATGAAATTAAGAAGGATTAATACATCATGTGTTCCACAAATTCCTTGAAACATTTCGATATACATGTGTGACAATCAGTGATATTTGTCTGGATGTTATAAGGACTAAAAGTCCTTTAGATGAACTCAAAATAGAGGGAAACAAAGAGTATACCACACCTGCTTCATACTTGAATACTTTATTGACTATAGACGTTAATGGCCAACTAACGCCTAAACTATTTGACAAACGGATGACCACAGCTTGTGTCCTTGTTTACGAATACGAATGGTTGGGACTTGGTTCTAACTGATAGGTTTCATACTAATTTGTTAGGCCATGCATTGTTATTACACTATTTGACCACGGATTGCTATGTTTACCTTATCAATACAGAGGCTTACGGGGCGTGTGACCATTCGGGAGATGTTTGCTCCTCCTGGGCACCTGGTCTAAAACCTGGAATTTCAGATTCACATTTCGTATTGTTCACGGGATTTGTGAGATCGATCATTCTTCGTTTATCTTTACATTTTTTATATTTAAGCAACAAGATTGTGATTCAATGTATGTCTTTATGGCAAGGATGGGATCACCATATTGTCTAGTTAAAATTACCCA